TGAACCTGTCCCGCATAATTTACTATTTTTTATTTAATTTAAAAGAACTGTAAATAGTATCTATGTTATCTAAATCCTTCCCAACATAATTGTTACTCTACTTTCTTTTTAGACAATTATTTTTACAATTTAGATTAAAGTTTCATAACTCACAACTGATGTATGTTAAACTAGACTCAAATTCTAAAATCTAAGTTTTTTTACAAATACTGTGACGAAGTAGTCTCTATATACTTTTCATTTGTTTGCTTTTTCTTTTTTAGATACAACTAGATCATAATTCATAACTAATTAATAAATGCAAAAAGGTTGAAATCCATATTTGTATGAGCTTAAATACAAATATGTATGTAAACTCATATACCATGTGGGTATATATGGATTCTCATGTTTACTATTTTGTCTATATTTGTATGAACTTAAATAGATTGGAGTTCATATTTATCCATTTAAGAAAATATGAGTGATCCATTTAATTTAATAAGAGAAAAATAAATTCATTTCACTTATATGGGATGAAATTGTCACCCCTACCCCTATAATGTTTGTCATTTCTGTGGACAAGTAGGTTTATACTTCTTTTAAAAAATTAAATTCGCAAAGATAAATGATCGATCAATTTAATTTTACTCTTTCGCAAAAAGTTAAATTTCTCAAAGAAAAAATGATCGGTCGATATTATGTTACTTTTTTGGGCAAAAAATTAATTTCATGTGTTTGGCATAGAGGAACTTATTATCCGAAAAATGTATTTCAATTTTTCTATGTTTGGTTGGTCAAAATGTTTGTAAATTTAGAAAAACAAATATATTAAAAAGGGATAGTTTGAAGTATATATATCATAAAGTAATTACTTTACAACAAATATAGCCAGTTTTTATTTACATAAAAAAGTAGTCAAAAAAGTTATAGGTCATTAGAAGTATACACCGACCACACACTATAGTTTGCCAGAAATCATAAAAAATATACATTAACTATACAATATATCATACCTATATATGAGCTATACACTAACTATAAATTATGATACACTCAAAAAACTAAATATAACTTAACTATACATGAAGTATACATTGACTATACTGAAGTACACATTGACTATTCAATCTCGATCAATTCGAAATCACCTCTAATTAATCCCAAAATTTTAGATATGAAATTTTCTCGATATTTCGAGTGATATATAATTTGCTCAAAAAGATTCACGTTTACAATATGTCAAATTTTAAAAATAAAAACAATGAAGAAGAAAAAGAAGACTATACAAAAAAAACTCAGAAGAAGAAAAGGGAGGAGGAGAAAGGAAGAAGAAAAAGAAGTCATTAATGGTGACATAGGAAGGATGAAGAGAAGATTAGAAGCCATTAATGGCGAACTCGAAAGGAAGATGAAGAAGTTTTGGCCAATTTTAGTAACTTTAAATTTGGCTAAAATTTTGGTAATGGAAATAGCCAAATGGCTACTTCTTAGAATTTCCCTAATTAAAAATGAGGTGAATGACTTCTATAAAGGAAGTGAGACAAACAAATTACATAAATAATATTCTAAATTTATTGTCTCTTTCCTATCCGCCTGATCCCTCAACCCCTACCCCTTGATCATCCCATCCCCAAACCCCCCCCCCCTCCCCATATCATCCCTCATTTATAGTATTTTGCTAAATAACATATAAATTGGGGTGTCAAATAGGTGGATTGAGTTGAAAGTTGAGATATTAAAATGGATTGAAGTAGAAAACGGTTGGATCATGATCCGCCCAATTTGACCCGCTTAATCTCAATAATTTTAATATATTATTATTAAAAAATTATAAGCACAATTTGAATTTCAATTCAAGAAAATTGAATCAATAAATCCTAGAAAATATAAAAATAGATAATAATTCATACATTCAATATATATATAGGGACATATATTACATCAATGTCAATAAAAAGTCTTAAAACGGGTTGGAATAGGAGATTAAATTAGGCTCAAATGAAGATTCTTTTAAAATTGGTTAGGGCTTGAATTGATTGAAATTGAATCGAATTCAAATTATATTGAGCCCAAACTATAAGTTTGGACTGATTGGGCAGGTTACCTATATTTGGACTCATTTTGACACCCCTACATATAAATGTTCTCGAGATAATATTTTTTTTATTTACCAAACACTAAAAAGTTAGTATGAAATCCACTTGTTTAAAACACGAGTAATTTTTCTAGATAGTCACTCATGTTTGGAAAATTACCTAGTAATATTACTCTTGTTTGTTTTATGACTACAATATCACCCAACTTTACATATTTTCAAAATATACTTGACACAAAATAAATAAAAAATCTCTTTCCTAATGGGATGCCACGTCACATTATTTAATTTTTATTAATAATAAAAAAAAATAAACTTCTTAAAACACCCATATGTTATACTCCATTCAGCAAAAAAAAATCTAAATTATTTATCATTTTTAGTTGTTTACTTTAGCATAGTAAGAGATAGAATTTTTTTTCTACTATTACATTTAGCATTAATTATTTAGTCTAAATCATTTCTCAAATCATTCATTCTTTAATTTCTTAAAGAATATGTCAAGTGCACACTATTAATGGGGTGTCATGTCATATTATTTCTTATTTTTTAATAATAATTTTTTTCCTTTTTCCTTTAAACTACGCTTGTTATAATTACTTTAGTTCTAGAATCTCTCTATAGAGGAAATTTAGTTTCTACTCCTTCTGTTCATCTTTACTTGTTCAGTATTAATTTGACACATCACTTAAGAAAGAGGAAATACATAAAATCCCCCTCAAACTTGTCCGCAAAACTCACTTTAGCACTATAACTTTACGGACGTTTAAGTACCCCTTAAAAACTTTCAAGTGAATTAAATACCACTTTAATGGCAGACGTGGCAAATAAAAAAGTTCTAGGCGCGTAAATAGCATGAAATTTAAAAAGAAAATAAGTGGATCCCACTTTGTCTTCATTCAACGCCTGTTTCATCTCCTTTCTCTCAAATTGTTTAGCTCTCTCTATTTCCGCTATGGCCGGACCTCCAGAAAACAATCTTGATGGCAATCACAGACCAACATGAAGGACCTCGCTGCCACTCCCTTCATCACTGCTCCGCAAAGAGACTAGGTGTCGTGAAACCATCAGATATTGCCAAAAAATTTCACCACGCCACTGAACTGGACAAAACGCCGGGCATACCTTTATCTTGGATTTCTTCCATTCTTCCTATTTTCTTTTTTGTCTTTTTATGTGTTTTCGTTTTTTCGGCAACCATGGTAAAAGGTCTGAAAACCTTCAGAGCTATCAATTTTGAGCCTAATATAACAACCATGACTCATGTAATTGTCGTTGAAGCAGTCGCCGATAGTTGCCATTGAAGCACTAGCAACTCTTGTTCAATGATGATAATATATGTATCGCTCCTTTTTTCCTCTGTTTTACATAATATTTGTTAAATTATTAGAAATCATGTTGTGTGTTAGTTTTCTACCCTAGGGAACTTTAATTTTAGTATTATAATGGAGAAGATGGAACAATAAAGAAGATGAGTGAAGAGGGAAAATGAGGACAAAAAGTAATATGGAAGAAATAAAAAGAAATGAAAACTAAATACAAAAAATGACATGGAAAAAAAAAAGAAATGAAAACTAAATTATTTCACTGTGTCACTGATGTGGCGCACGTGTATATCACCTCCCAACCGTGAAACTGGTATAATATATATAAGGTGGTATTTAATTCACTTGAAAAAAAATTAAGGGGGTATTTAAAGGTCCGTAAAGTCATAGTGCTAAAGTGAGTTTTGCAGACAAGTTTGAGGGGGATTTTATGTATTTTACTATATTAATCTCTGAATATAATAAATTTAAGATTTAAAAAAAATGCATTGACAAATGACTATAACTAATAATAAGAGTGAATTATGAATTAAGTAAGAAATTATCTCTTGATTTTCTAATGTAAACAAGTAAAAATGAATAATTAAAATAGACAAAGAGAATAATTGCTAGGAAAAAAAGTCCGTAAAATGAGTTAGTTGATATAATACTCTTGATTTTTTATGAATACATGAAAATTGTTCTCTAATGTTACTTTTTTTTTCTTTTTTTTTCACTTTTACTTGTTTTTAATGTTCACCTTACACATTCTTTAAGAACTTAAAGAAAGAATAATTTGAAACATGATTTAGAATAAATAATTAATGTTAACCGTAATAACAGAAAATAAATATGATTGTTTAAAAATGTTCACTTTGCACTATGTAATTTTTCTTTTTTACCAAGTATAACATGTGGATTGTTAAAAAAAAATAATTAAATGTATTATTAATAAAAAGGGAATAATGTGATACGACATCCATTAGGAGAGAGGAGAATTTTTTTTGTTTCAAGTATATTTTGAGAAAAATATATATAGTTGGATCACATTATAGTGTCTTAAAACAAACAAAATGATACTACTAGGTAATTTCTCAAACATGGGTGACTATATAGGAAAATTACTCTTTAAACCACTTTCTAAGAAAATATTTTCCAAAAAATATATATTTTTCCTTCTACCAAACACACAAGTGAATTTAATTTGACTCTTTCAAGATGGCTAAACCACTGGACTCTTAACGGTAGGGATTGGGGCATGGCGGGGTAAGTTTAAGCCTATGCTGAGCGGGGCGTATTTAAAATTGTGCAGGGCCAGAGGAATGGATGACGATTGAAGTGAGTTTTTTTAAAACTAATGCAAGGCGAAGCGAATTACAGATATATATAATTGTATGTAGATTCAAACTTAATTTTAACTTTTTACATATTTTTTTTTTAAACAAGCATTTTAATTAATGATTGATTAAATCATGAATCAAAGATGGGGATCTATTATCCACTACATAGCATGAGTCATAGAACCCGAAGTCTGAGCTAACTTATCACTCATTATTTATTAAAAATGGGTGCATTCTTATATACTTCACAGTTCGTACAATAATTTTTATAGAGAGAACTAATATGAATTCATCGCACTCGGAAAATGTCAAATTGTCAAAACAAAAATGAGCACGAAACCCAAATCAAAAAAATACTTACAGGAGAAAGGTACCAAATATGCAATTTCCTCTAAATTCATAGCCCCCCATTTCAAGGCACCAAGCTTAAATGATGTATACTTTCCCTAGTGTAAAGTGATAATGCATTTACAATTAAGAAAGACAAGTGTCGTATAGCATATAGATCGATATATTATTTGAGGATTTCCTATGTACAACAAACTCCACGCCATAATTAGAGTACGATGCCATATTTCAAGTTTCCAACAACTTCAGAAGCTAGTTATACCTACAGAGCGATTGATGACTTATGGGCAATGTCATAAACAGAGATGAGGATCTCCGCACCAATCAGTATAATAATAAGCCATTCAAGGAAATCTGACTTCCTATTTTGAAGAATTTCTTGAAGGAATCGTATATTATGCTGCACACAAATATCAAAATGTTAACTACTGCATTTACTCGTATGAAGAAATTCAACAGTTTTTTATCTTTTATAAAAGGAGAGCTGCAAACACGGTACACGTCAGGGTAAGGAAAAAAATGACATTTAAAGAACCTCTAGTCTTGGTTTAAGGCAAATAATCAGTAAAAAGAATAATTTAGAACCAAATAGGGCGTATTGACTATAGAGAATTCATGTAACTGAACCAATCTTTGTTTGGAATTTGAAGCTTCATTGATTGATTAAGAATGGAATACCATACCTCAACAAATTTCAGCTTAAAGTCGAGGCTTGCGAATCTTTGAGTCAACTCAAATTCATCTCTCAGATATTCCCAAATTTGAGCATATTTTGCATCCTTCCATGCAATATCCGATCTGAAAACAAAAGAAACTTCCATATGATACCAAACACAGAGCAAAGAAAGTGTTACCTACCAAGAAAACTACCGTCCATGTAAAACCGAGTGTTGCCTTAAAATGAATTCACGCAACGTCAAACAGAAATTATCAATAATTCCAAGAAAGACATGTTTTTTTTTTAAAAAAAAATGATGATGGTACGAGGGCCAGCTTGCGCGTACCTCATTTATGTAATAGGTATCTGCAACATCCCACTAAGACATCAAATACTAGATAACTCTATCTACCAAAATTTCAAAGACCAAATAACTCCATCTACCAAGACTTCAAATACCAACTGGCTTCACTCAATCCACCAAGGCTTAGGCATACAAGAAGAAATCACCTATTTTTTGCCACTGCTTGGACTTACACCCCTAGTCTAGTTTGCACCCTCTTTATTGTCCACTAATACGCCACACCCTTGGCTGCTAAGGGTATTCTAAAATGAATTACTAAGACTAGGCATGCTTATTTACCTATGTGTATATATATATGTGTGTGTATATATATATATATATAGTTTTTAAAATGTTTATACTTGATACTATGATCTTTTCTCTCTGCAGCAATCAAACTGGATCAACTAAAATTGGGAAAGTTATAGTTGTAAGAAAGGTCAATTCTACACTTAAAATCAATATCTTGAAATGTCACTCTGAAATTCATGATATAACCATATTCAAAAGGATTCAACTATAAAATCAAATTGGGAAACTATTCAAGAAGAGAGGCCTCTCACAGATGATGAATTGTTGTTGCAAAAGGCCAATTTGACCATAGATTTTGAAGAGGTAGCAAAAAAGGAAGAAATTGACTGGAAGCAGAGGTCTAAAGTCCAATGGTTAAAGCATGGGGATAAGAACACAATTTTTCCACAGAACTGCAACTTCTCACAAGAGATTCAACTGCATGGAGGCAATTAGAAGTGGATGGTACTACTATCCAGTATCTAGATAGTATCAAGGAGGTTGTGCAAAACTACTACAAAGATCTATTTTTGAGAAAGAAAACTACTACAAAGATCTATGCCTGAAAATTGGAGACCTAATTTTATAGACTCCATGAGTCTTCAAGGAGTACTGATGAGGAACAGATCTGGCTGCAGAGAGCCTTTGAGGAGGAAGAGATACTAGAGTGTTTGAATATATGTGCTATGGAGAAATCACCTGTATCAGATAGCTTCCCAATGGTGTTTTTCTAGAATTTCTGGAATCTACTGAAGGAATATATTACCAAGACCATCCAACATTTTCATTCAAACCAGGTCTTTGAGAAGAGCTTCAATGCAACGTTCATTGCTCTGACCCCAAAGAAGCCTGGAGCCTCGGAGCTAAAAAACTTCAAACCTATTAGCCTGGTTGGGGATGTAACACAAGATTATTGGCACAGAGGCAAAAGAAAGGATAGATAAAATGGCCAACAAACATCAGATGGCATTCATTAAAGATAGACAAATAATGGATGGAGCATCATAGCCAGTGAATGCATAGACTCAAGATTGAAGAGTGGGGTCCCAGGCATAATGTGTAAATTGGATATTCAAAAAGCTTATGACCATGTGAATTGGGGCTTTCTTACTGAATATTCTCAGGAAAATGGGGTTTGGAGGCAGATGGGTGAAGTGGATAGAATACTGCATTAAAATAGTCAGGTTCTCTGTGCTTGTGAATGAAGAACTTGTTGGTTTTTTTGCATCAAAAAGGGGTTTGAGACAGGGTGATCCCATCTCTCCTTTCCTGTTCATTCTGTCAATGGAAGGTTTTGATAGCATGATGAGAATAGCAGCTCAAAAAAAGATGGATCAGAGGGTCCAAAGTTGGGGACAGTGTAGGGAGAGAGATGGAAGTTGGTCATCTGTTGTATGTAGATGACACCATATTTTTTTGTAAACCAGTGGCTGAATTGCTAAGCTATATTAGAGTGATCCTTGTCTTGTTTGAAGCTGTAGCAGGGTTGAAAGTTAACTGTTAACTGGGGGAAGAGCAGTTTAATCTCAGTGAATGAGGTTCACCAGATTCAAGATAAGGCCAGCATCCTGGGATGCAAAAGAGAGCATTTACCCTTCAACTTATTTGGGTTGCCCCTGGGAAGCAAACATGTCTTTAGAGATTTGGGAGAGCGTCTTGGAAAGAACAGAACAGAAATTCTCCAAATGGAAGGTTCAGTACTTGTCCTTAGGTGGTAGACTGATCCAAATCAATTGGCTCAGTACTTGTCCTCAAGTGGTAGACTGATCCTAATCAATTCTGTCCTAGATGCATTACCCACTTATGTGATGTCCCTATTCCCAATTTCCAATTCCATCAAGTTGTGAAGAAACTTAATAGTTTAGAAGAGATTTTCTTAGGCATGGAAACAAAGAAGGGAAGGGTTACTGGCTTGTTAACTGGAAAACAGTAATGCTGAATAAAGGAAGAGGAGGATTGGGGGTCGGAAATCTCAGATTGCAGAATGAGGGCATCTGATCCTTATGGTATGGGAGTTCGGAGAACAATCAGAGGCCACTGATGGAAACCAATCTTAGCTTTAAGATAGGCAATAGAAACAACACGAAATTTTGACACGATGGATGGATTGATCAATCACCATACAAAGAGAAATTTCCAGATTTTTTTCAGATATGTGGTAACACTGAGGCCAGAGTAAGTGAGTGCTGGTCAGTACAGGATTATAACATCTCGTTCAGACGAACGCTAAATGATTGGGTGATTGACAGAGTGGCCTCATTACTTGGAAAGCTAGGAGGAAGCAACATTGTCACAATAGAGGCAGATAGGGTGCTGTGGAGCGGCCAGAGGGGGGGGGGGGGGGGGGGGGCCTCCCTC